TGCAGGGAACACCCCTACCTGGGCTGCGGGCTTTCCCCCTTCCAAAACGCTTCGTTCAGTGACCAGCCCCGTGGAACATGCGCAGCCTTCAAGGCTTTACGTGGGCCTGCACCTACAGGGATTACTACACTGAGCCCCGCTGTTTCTAATGATTTCCTAGCTACTTAATGCCCTCTTGCACACCCGTGGGGATTGTTCCATCAAGTCGCGCCTAGTAGCTCATGCCACATTAAAATCAAAGTCATGCAGTCGAGAATTTATTTTCTTAAAAAGAAATAAAATAAAAGTAGCCCAAGAAAAGTGCTGATCCGTTAAAATATACCTAAGGCACCGAACAGAGTTGTAAACTTCCAAGCCATCACGCAAGATGCCTACACTGTCCCACACGAGCCTGGAGCCACCGAGACCTCGGGGGTCACCGCACAGCCCGGCCCAGCAGCGGCTCAGCAGCTTCCTGCGTTTCCAGAGCAGACTCGCAAGAGGCGCCTGGGGTGTAGAACACCGAACCCGCGCACTACAGGGGATGTGTGGAAAGTTTAAAGGGAGGAACGAGCTGGAACCGCAGGCGGGCCGGTGACTGATTAAGAAAGCGCCGGGGGGTGGGGGGGCAACGGACCAGCCTTTCCAAGCGGCAGCTGCAGCGGGTTGAAGGCCGCGAGTGCGAAGAGCAACCCGGCAGATCACAGCCCGCTGCTCCCCCATCGTCTCCTGCAGCCTTGTCAGCCTGGAAAAATCACACCCGTCAAAGTCAAGGTGTGAACAGAAGTGATCCAATTGCGCCAGCAAAACCTCTTTGCTCTTATTTGAGGCAAGAATGACTTTTTCAGTTTAGTCTGTAACTAGCAACAGTCTTTAAATTGGATTATACTGGGAGATCTTAGACAGGAATGAACGTGTCTGACTGAGGATTACACTGCTGTACCTCCTGTCACGTCTAGACACGGCCGAGCTGTTATGGGACAGACAGCCCCGGCTCTTGGGACCGGACACCCTGGGGGCACGCAGCTTGAAACCACTTTACACTGCGCTTCGAGATTTAAAACAGCGGCAGAAATTCCCCTTGCAGAACACGAGATGGGAGCAGGCAGCGATGGGCCGCTGTGCGAATCGGAGCCGAGGTACAACTCGACCCAGGAATCGAGGTTATCCCCGTTACGGTGTCTGGGGTTGCAACAGGAGAAGCCTGTTTGCTGGCTTGGGCCACAACCACCATGTGTGCAGCACGACAGAAAATGGGAGTAATTTTTGTGTGGGGTTGGAGGTTTTTCTGAGATTTCAGGTTTAGATTAAAAAACTGGACTTTATTTCTAATACTTAAATCCTCTTCCTCACTGGCTGTCTGAGCAGTGATGCGTAATTAGAATGCAGGAGTCACTGCTCCCCAGTACACTTAAGATGAGCAAAACAGAGACCAAGACACGCTGCAGCTCCTGCTAACTCACACCTCCAATCCTGCTCGGGAGGAGGCTGTGCTCTGCTGGGCAGGGAAGGAAACGCTCCTGTTACAACGCAGTTAAGCCTGCAGCTCTCTTTTCTTTATCGTTATGAAATAAATCACCACCCGCTCCTCGGAAAAACACGCTGCTTCACAGGCAACTACTTCTGATCTCTACCAAGAGCAGGCAGGTTCCCGGGAGAGGGGAATGCAGTAGTATAGCCGAACGGGAAGAAGAAAGGCTGAGGACCTCAGCTCACAAGACAGCTGTCCCACCTACTTTGTTAATAATATTGCTTCGTCTTAAAAAGGCCTTTGGATTAAAAGTGAATTCAGTGCTTTTCCATCAAAAAGATACATAGATCTGTTACCTGACCAAGACGCAGTATGGCCCCCCACCCGCCCGAAGCACGACAACATGGGACTGGACGTGATTAGTGAACCCGATGTTCTTTGTTTCGGAAGAGAAGTAACATACAGATCCTCGATGTGATGCGGACACGTTGCAAATACATAAAAATGCAGATTGGCCTGTGCTTCGTTAGCCAGCCTGTCATCAATTCTTGTTGAGAACAGAGTACCATTTTGTAACTGCTTTAATTTCGATTAATCAAAGCAAATGGATTCGTGAACACCGGGAGTGAAGATGAGCATCGCTAGCTGTGGCGTCCCACAGCCAGGTACAAGGGGTGCGGTGCAGCCCCGTCCCAGCCCCAACGCGACCCCAGACATCACTGAGCAACATCCAAGCTGAGTCAAGCCTGATTTGGTATTTTAGAACACAGAGACACCCACCGCGGGCTCACGGCGAGGCCCAGCAGGAGACTTGTTCTCCTTCCCCTACACTGAGCTAAATATAAAATCTTCTCTAGAAATTGGAGACGTCTGACTGGGGGGGAGGTTTGGATGAGCACGGGAAGCTCCCGGGAGAAGAGCAGGACCGAGGGCGAGGGTGTAACAGCTGATGGGCCTTGACCGCGGGATGGCACCTCCCAGCTCACTCCAAACGCCTCAGAAAGCAGATTTCTGCCGAGTCCCGACAGTCCGGAAATGAAATGCAGTTCAGCACAGATTTGTGATCTCTGCTATAAATGGTTCCTGGGATCACCGATAATCACGGTTACTGAGTTGTTTTAGTGATTTAAATTCTTGAATCCTATGGTTAGTACAGTTGCCTTTTTCAGTATTTACCAGTAGCAAATCAAGACACTACCTTCCTTAAAACAAGGTTACTGCAACTGACTCCTTGAAGAGGAGAGGATATGCAAATCAAAACCTCTAGCCAATATTGCACAACCCAGTATGCCTTCTGGGAACAGCCCGGTCACAAAGGAAAGGCAATGACTCGAAAGGCCGCCACAACGCCAGTCCCTTCCAATTCTGAAACGTTTGAACTAAATTTAGAGCAACGAAGCGAGCCCGTGCAGGGGTTCCCGCTTCGGTGCCCTGTGACCGGTGGGTACAAACGCTTAGTTTCTTGATTATCCAGTTCTTCTCTCTGGCCAGAGAAGACCAACAACAGGCTAAGGTTTTGCCGGGGGCTCGTTCCCCCATCTAGAGCAGAGCTCAGCAAACATGCTGGATAGCAGGCTGGGGTTAATGAAACTGCAGTACAAGTCAAACACTATCTCCTAAAAGATTGAAAAAATATTTTTAAACAAAATAATGTGACATATTTACATAATTCCTTAAGTGCAAACTCTTGTCACAATTCACGTAGTTGAGCTCAATTTAGACTCACTGTACAAGAAGGTGCTCTTTCTTTAATGAAAGAAGAACTCTACTCTGTATTCCTGATTCAGTAACGTGTCTCTTGTGCAAGGCAGTAAACTTCCTGTTTCTTCCCAACGTACTTCCGAAAACAAAACCAAAACCAAGCCATCCTCTTCCCCACTTCCCGTCCCGGTTACCGCACGACGAGGCAGGAGACACAGAGCTTAGAGGGGCCAATGCAATCATCATGGCAGAAGGCGCCGCAGCCCTTGCACATGATCATGGCTTTCAACCTGCAGTAACATTTGGAAGGGGAATCCTCCATGCCGTTGTCTTCAGCAAAGGCCTGAACGGGGATGGTCTGACTGTGGCTGCCAGAGTTCATAGCCTGGCCGGTGGGAATGGTGGTTACAGTCACGGAAAAGGACATGACGTTCCCCATGCTGCTGGACAGCTGATTGCATTCCGACAGCCCGGTCATAAGGGACCCTTGGTTCACGTCTGGCGAGGTGGAGACATTTATCGTGCCGCTGTAGCTGGGCCCAATGAGCGGCGCGGCAGCGTTTCCAGAGAGCTTTGGAGGGTGCGAAGGAGAGAGCAGTGGAGGCTGCTGCTGTGCGGAGTCTGCGGACGGTGCAGAAGCACTGAAAAGCTCCGGGCTGCTGCGCGTTTTCCCCCTCATCGCATGTGCCATTTGCTCTTGAGCGGCTTGAATAAAATCTCGTGCTAACGTAGTTCCATCGAATGCCTGAATTCTCTCCTTGTTGAGTGCCGCTGGCTGAGACGCGGCTGCTTCTGTCTTTACACCCTTTTTAGCAGGGGTGCTGTAATCTGAAGAATTTATGCTATGTGATACCTGCTCTTTTTCACGCTGAGCAGAAGCCTGGGGCTCCTCTTTTACACTGCTATGTTCACGTTCATCACCAGTGCTCTCATCATCTGCATCTCCTTCATCGCTGCTGCTGCCGTGGCCAGCTGTCTCCTCACACTCCCCAAATTCTGTTTTTGGAGCATCAGCAGGACTGTTTGGACACAAGCGGTTTTCAGGGTTCAAGGAGAAGCCTCTCCTCAGACTCTCTGAACCACGACCATAGGTGGAAATGTTGAGCAGATAATGACCAGACATTGCAGGCTTGGATGTCCTTCTGCCCATGAAACCCAGTGTAAATCTCTGGCTGGTGGAGCTGTTTTCTAACTGGAAACCTGAGTGAGTGAGGTTCAGTTGTGAAGGCTGAAGGACGGACAACGAATTCTGCCTCTGGACCCTCTTGATAAGAGTCTGAAGGATCTGCTCCTGCGTTGTTTTGCTGAGCGCCTCGTGGCACGGGTGCTGGTCAAGACTTGGGTCCTTTCCTGAGGGGAGTGGAAAGGTCCTTGGAATGTGAGGCAGAGACCTGTTCTGGCAAAAGATCTTCTCAAGCTGTTGTGTGGGCAAACACGATTGTCTGTCACCACCCTCGGCTCCAGCAGTGTTCCCTGCTACGCTTGGAGCCCTGGATGCTGCCGCCGCCGCCCCTTTTTCTTCATGACAAGCTAACGGGACGGTTTTCATCTCTGCTTTGGTGAGAGGCTTGGGCAGGATTTGCTCCAGAGGGACACTCTTGCCTTGAAGAAGCTGGGTGACCAAAGGGTTGTTAGCAGGAATACTGGAGCTTGGCTTTGGGAGGGCCCCACTTGAGCTTGAACTTGCGTGAGTTTTAAGGGTAGGTGCAATGCAGGAAGTGTTAGAGGGTGGGACAGATGGAGCTGATGTGACCACACCTCCAGCCTGGGCTTCGGAGCTCGTGGATGTCAGCGAAGGCATCGGAGGGGACGGAGATTTGCTTTGAGGAACATCTGAGCTGGTCCCTCCCGAGGCCGTAGGTGCTACCTTGGTTTGGTTTGTGTTGGTATCCGCTGTGGAGGGAGCGACGCAGAGCGTTCCATCCCTGGCAGCTGATGCCCCGCAGGCCTGGCTTGGAGCTGCCGGAGCAGACGGTGCTTCCTCTGGTTTGTCACCACTACCAGCACGTGGGGAGCCTGAAACCTGATTTACAGTCAGACTGGGGGGGCTCCGTCTTAGTCTGTTGATTTTCTCTAGTGCCGGTGCTGCTGATGCGGAGGAGCTGGTGCCTGTACTGCCGGCTGGAGCTGCGGACTGCAGTGTGGACGTTTGCTGTAGTTGTGCTCTAGAAGGATTGTGAGGTGGTGCCTGGTCCGTGGCGCGGGTCTCCATTTGGATATGGGGAAGAAACCTTCTCGAACTTCCCCCGCTTCCAGTTCCTGCCAGTTCCAGTGCATTTCCTCGAATTCCAGTTTCGCTGGTTCCGCTCGTGGCTGCGTTACTCTTCTCTCC